ATGCCATTGTTTTCTGATGTTGCTTTCCTTTTTCACATCTATTAATTGTTGCATTATAATGTTTTTTTTTCTGTTGACACACTGGTTTTGTGGTTGCTGAATATCCACCTCTCGAGGTGTACAACGCCATTCCTTGCCCTGACTCTTAATTGAAACCGGGTGACATAAATAGTGTACGACTGGGATCTCGGGTGCTTCGCAGAAGGATTCATACACACGGGACCTGTTTCCCATGTGTACGAATCCTTCTGCGAAGCACCCGAGATCCCAGTCGTACACTATTTATGTCACCCGGTTTCAATTAGGAGTCAGGGCAAGGAGTGGTGTTATACATCACATCTCGAGAGGTGACATTCAGCAACCACATAAACACAGTGTGTCAACAGAAAAAAAACAGTCTGTCCTCAGACAAGTGTGAAATATAATATAATATAATATAATGAATCTGGTCCCGTCCTCGTCGCTTTTGCCGTCCCAATCTTCTTCATCCTGTTGTCACTATCTCGCCCAACATTGTGTCGACACTGTCTGGCTCAGATTTAGCATAGCAGTTGATTGTCATCTCGCATTTGTCTAATCCTATATTTGATATGTTTCGCATCCACACTCATGGTGTGCCTCTACTGGTCCAGCTTCAACCCAGACGACGGTTTGCTTTACCCGAGCAAAGTTCGATTTCACCCGAAATCGTTGTCCCGTTTCGGCGAGTTCTTGCTCCGAGTCTGCACCCGTCTACATATTGTCGGTTGCTCGCAAGTGGGCGCGTTCAATCCACCACAGCTGACTTCGAGCCCGGAGACCAGCAACGCCGCTGGCGATCGAGTCGAGGAGGAGATTGTGGAGGTGACCAATTTCACTCTGATCAATCTGATACTGCGCATCTGTGGCCCGATGCCCGAGGCCAAAACCACACGAACACTGCTGTGGCTTCAGGTTAGTACGGTCTGTGTGTGTTCTATACGCATCATCAGATGCAACTCTTTTCTCGAGATTTGTTGGATGAAATTCCCTAGGAGTTTCGACCGCATGCGATTGCACGAATGTAATGAGTTCTACCGGACTATGGAACCTCCATTTCTGTATCTAGATGTGTTAGGTGTCCTTTTGAAAACCTCCATGTTTGAACCGTTAGCATCAGCTCGGGGTCTAGGTTCCTTGAGTTCCTTACTAACGGCGTATGCATATTTGTACGATAAGGAATAAATGATTTGGATCTCATAGTCACAGAAGCCTGTCGTTCATTTATGGAAACCAGTAATCTGAGCCTCGGGATTTGGATTGGTGAACCACATTAGGCCGCGCTAGGTTCGGTGTGGTATTGGATCAAACGACAATCTAAAGACTATTGTTGGGCCTCAAAAGAGTCAGGTTGTCGCTGTTGTTGCCTTTTTAACCCGTTAAGTCGCCTCGAAAAACAGAAAATCACACCAATCTGTTCGAGATGTTGGAGACCAAAAGCAATGTGAATTACCTGACGTGATATGAGCATGCATACATACGGTCTCGTCATTGTTTTCCAAACATAAGAGTTTACCAT